TTTCTTTACCCCAGAAAAGACCATTTATATTTAAATACTTTATATTTACATTGAGGGGATCCTCTCTATGGAGGCCGCCATGTTTTTTTACATTAGTCCAGAATGGATAAACTAAACTCCTTTTGAGGTCTTATGACAATTAAAGTCTGCCACCGGTTCTTTTTCATGTTTGGCAGGAGAGGGTGAGGTGAGGGGTGTTCAGCTGCAACATGTAATTTCAACCCTAGATATCACAAAATTCTACAAACTGTACCTTTAACCACTGACCCCAAAATCACCATTTTCCAATTGAGGACAGTGATAAGTCTCCAATTAGAAAAGCTGCAATCAAACATACACACACACACAGGTTTGCTATCTTTGCTAGGACTCTGCACTGACTTCCATTGATTGTGGACAGCCAAAGTCTCACCCTAACCCAACCTAACTATCATTCACATCTTACCCCTAACCTTAACCAGAACATTTGAATTTACCAGGCTTTAGTCCCAATGAGGTGTTGTCCTGACAAGGTCAGTGTTTATACTGAAAAAGGTCCTAAAGAGTTAACAAATACAAAGTCACACACACATACACATGCACACACTCAGAACTCTGGCTTCTCATTCTTTCCTTTTAGCTGTTTATCCTTCTGTCTTTTTTGTCCCTCCATCTTTCCCAGACTCTACAGGTCAGTAGTTAAGACTTCTTGGTTTCTCTGACACTGGCCAATCAATCCTGTCTGGAGGAGGAAGCATTCTCTAGTGTAAGGCCCTACCCCCATTGACCATACAAGGTAACAGAGGAATGCATGGCTTGGCGGTCCATCTGCTTCATAAGAGAGACAGAGACAAAGACCAGAGGATGTCCCACACCGACGAGCAACATTGTTTTAGTGTGATTTTAACTTTTGCTAGCTGTGAAGAAAGGTTGAAAGAGAACTTAGGCAAGATACCAATATAACACTGTTGTAGAAGCGGACAAACAAGTCAAGCAGCAGCTGATTGATTTCACCTGGGAAAACCAAGTAAGCAGCCAGTGGCGATGACAAGAAAGAGATGAAAAGGTCCAGGAGTGAAGCAACTCTGAGCAGCATCTCAGCTGACCTGTAGCAGAGGACTTAATAAGGTATGGGATTCACAGAGATTACTCTAAAAAGAGTATACAAGTGTTATCCAAGTAAGTTAGCACAGCATTACAATATTAATCTTGTTTCACAAGAATGAAAGCAGACTTGTTTTTCCCTGAAGGTTCTCCACGCTGACTTTGGTTTCAATCCAAAGCAGAGGTTCCAGAGTGCATTGTGTCCAGTGTTGGCCAAATAGGGGTTTGGACTAGATCTGAATACTTGGTCAAAGTCTCAAGCCTTTGCTACAGCTCAGGTGTATTAACCAGCCAACCTAGAGAGGGCACTAGCCAATGCCCGTAGACATGTACATGTTAGCACCAAAAGAAAAAAAAAAAGTATTTTGTTGTCCAAAAATATGTGATATGACTTCATGTAATGTCTCATCTTGGATATACTGTATCGATACATATTATATGTTTTTTGTCATACTGCCATAATCCAGCTCTGCTCAAAGCGTACATGCTTTAACAGTCTGACAGACTGCAACCAAGTTTTTATTAAATCATCTTACACAGTGTGATTTGTACTGACACTAGATGTTGTCACAGTGAATAGGGTGGTTGTAAGGGCTGACAAGTCAATACGTGTACTGACATAAGTCAGTTAAAAAAATAAGTAGGGCCAGAAAGTATTGTGAAAAAACAAAAAGGCTACCTAAATGCCATTCACACATTTATTATTACAATTATGTGCATCACCTTTTCTATCTTAGCTGAGTGGATTGGGAATCAGAACCAAAGACATTTCTGCACACAGAATTAGGGAGATGGGGATTACACCGCAGATCTTCTGGTTCGAGGATGACGCACACTGCCTCCTGAGCCACCTCTTTAGTGTTTGAAAGCAATTGAACTGATCACAAACAACCACAAATTCTAATCATGCAGGATGAGGTAGGGTGGGATAGGTCTCTATCTCTCCTTAAATGGTAAAAACAGAGCAAAAATCTGATGTGAAACCCTCCTGCAGTATCACTGACATTGGTGTCACACAATGTTTCACCTCACACAGTAGGCCAACATTGATGACAGGGATTAAAGACAACATTTTTATATATATAGCAGGCTTAAAAGAAGAGGAAACAACTGCTAGTCATATTCACACACATAGAATATACACACAAGCTTACTTAACCTCATATGTTCCCACAGAGCTCTAGCTGTTTGTTTTCATGCTCCGACAGAGGGATAGGAATCAGGAGGTGTGGAAGAAACAAACCAGGTAAGAGCAACACACAAACACACACACACATACTGGTCTTTTTACATATGCACACACTGTTGACATAATGAATTCCCAGCCTCTTACCCCAACCCAAACCTGATTGTTACTTGAAACTGAAACCAGGTGTCAATCTTCAGACATTTGAATAGTGATGCAAATGCAGATATGCCCCCAAAACAATGGTTTAAAACTGAAATAGGTACTCACGCTGTTAATTGGAAAAAGACTATACAGCATGTTGGATGAATTTTTATAGTTTCTCCCCAGACTTTTACTGGAAACAGCTCTGTAAATGGCTTTCAACCAGCTGAGACTATACTCTCTGGTCTTAATTTCCTCCATAATTTATTTTTTTCTGTACTGAGAGGATACCTGGTGTGTTAAAGGTTAATGATTATGTAAAGGGACTACATTTCATATTTTAGAGGTCTGTCTTCCCAAAGTCCAGTTACTAAAACACGTGTTGTAACACCCCAGCTGCCAGGAGCTGATGACTGGGATGAACATGAGAAAGTGCAGAGGGGAGAGAGGAGGAAATGCTGTATTTATTTACTGAGCAGTCAGGGAACTGAGTTAGGAAGACTTTCACATAACCTACACATACATAGTCAACACCAGTCCTCCCTTGGGACCAAGAGACCATCCATGATTCCCAGGGTCAGTTTCACATGGGAGAAGGAGAAGGAGCAAGATGAGTTAAGACAGCCCATAGAAGACCTCATGAAAATACCTCTGACTCAGATGATGTTAACAACCCCCAACCAGTTCAACTCTTTTAGCTTGACCTTAAAATAATGTCTACTCGTAAAATGGACTGTATTTATATAGCGTTTTTCTAGTCTTAATGACCACATAAAGCACTTTACAGTACAGTTTTGCCATTCAGATACACATTCATACAGTGCTTTTATGTGCAGCACTTTCTCTATTTCACATCATTCATACACTGCCAGCACAGCTGTCAGGGGCAATTTGGGGCTCAGTATCTTGCCCAAGGAAACTTCAGAATGCGAAATGGGGGACATGGGGAACTTTCTGGTCAGAGGATGACCCGCTCCCTCCTTAAGCCACAGTATGATGTCAATGACCCGGTCCCTTCGAGACCCTTCATGACAGGTAAAACTCCACATAGCTTTCCCTTTCAGCAAGTATACATTTCTTATCATTGTTACTCCTAAGATTATTTTAAATTCTAAAACCCCTAGGGGGGCCCATGTCCTCCAGGGTGGGAAGCACTGAACCAATCATAACAGCCATAGCTTCCTGTCCCCCTGGGCTCCTGAGTTCCCACCAAAAAGCCCCTTATTAAAGCCTTAATGTTTTGCGCTGCACTGCACTTCACTTAGACAGGCTCCTGTAGCTACTCTGATCAAGCTCCAGTGTTTGACTCACTGCTCAGCATTGCCATTTTTGGTAACTGATTTCGAGCCCCCCTTTTCCAGTGACTTTTATGTAATGTACAATTACTGTATCTGTGTTTTTGTCGACGAAACTGTGATACCACTTCTTCACTGCACTAGTAAATGTTTTTATACATACATATACATTCATACATACATACATTTTGTATATAATATATAAGATTGTGTGTGTGTGTGTGTGTGTGTGTGTGTGTGTGTGTGTGTGTGTGTGTGCCTCTGCACGCCCGTGTGTGTGTATGACAGACAGATGGATACAAATTGAGAAAGGGCTTCCTGTGTGTGTTTCACAGAGCCAAGGAACAGAAATATGACCATATTAGGCAATGTTTGGCTCAACAACAGAGATGGCTCTGACTGTTATCAAAGCTTGTCTTAACACACACAGACACACAATCTCACATATGTACAAAATAAAAAAAGACTTAATTTCAATCACATTTACTAGTGCAGTGATTTTAGTGGAGTTACAGTTTCTGTGTAATCTGTGCTTGAATCCTGGGGCAGGGTGAGGTAGGGTGGTGCAGGGTGAGGTAGGTTGCAATAGATCAGTAATTGTGCTCTCCTTAAATGGTAAAAACAGCAAAAATCTGATGTGAAACCCCCTTGCAGTATGGTGGACATTTGTCTCACACAATGTCCTCTTACATAGTAAACCAGCATTGATGACAGGGACTATAGATATCATCCTCTATATATAGCATGCTTAGAAAGAATAGGAAACAAATACTAGTCATACACACACATAGAATATACACACACTCTCACTCAACCTCTGTTCCCTCAGAGCTCTGCCTGTGTGTGCTCATGCTCAGAGGCAGCGGAACGAGAATCAGGAGGTATGAAAAAAAACAGACCAGGTAAGAGCAACACACACACACACACACACACACACACACACACACACACACACACACACACACACACACACGCACACATGCACACATAAACCCAGACACATTGGCATAGTGCATTCTGTAGCTCCTTACCCTAACTGTAACCATCATAATTAAATCCCTCACCCTAAAATAAAAAAGACAAACATATCCATCTGTCAGCCCCACCATCTTTTCTATTCTGAAACAGGGCTTCACAGAGTTTTGCAAGTGTAGGACACATCTGTGGAGCCTGAGTTTCCCTCACACAGCACGCAGCTCAGCTCAATAGAGAATCAACTCTGGGACCGAAGTGAACCAACAAGAAAACTTTGATTCTCAGTTCATGTTGAGCTAAAACACACAAACAGCAGAGAGCATCACAGCTTGGATAATCAGTGTCTTAGTATTTGATTTTCATAAATCAAGATTCCATTGCAACAACAAAAGATAAAAGTAAATGTTTTACAGCATCAGATCATATATGAAGTCATTGTGTGCCTGTCTGGCTCCATGTTTACTAAGAACATTTCCGTTTTACAGTATACACATGTCATGAAACCAAAAACCACCATCACCTGGGTAGGTGTTTCTTTCTTTTTGGATGTGGATGTAGCAGAGTGTAGCCAATGTCACTCTCATTAAATTGTGTTGTGTTTTTTTTGTTTGTTTCAGAATGTAAATGTAAGATATTTTTACAACAGTATGTTAATGTGTAAAATAGAGTGTAAATGATTGATAATGGTTGGTCTGATGTGTTCATGGAATGGACACACAGCTAGACTGCTGCAGGACCTGTCACATAATTCTGTATATGCAGATAAATGTATGGATTATATGAAGGCTCTCCATACTAAGATGGAACATGAATAATCAGTTGCCAGTAGCCCTAAAATTAATTTGCAACAGGTCCTGCGACTACCTAGAAACAAAACCTCTCAACAGTAAAAAATGGAAATCGAAAGTTACAGATGTTTGCTTTATTTTCTGTGATTGTATTGCTTTGCACTTTCTCACTATCTGAAGAAAAGGAGAAAAGAAAAACAAAATGTTTCGAGTAGCTGTCAGATATTTCAGATGGTCAATGTATGAATTTAAGCAGATTTGCAGATGACATAAATTAATAGTTCTATGGCAATGAATAAGGATTTTAAACTCCTAAACTAGGCCTTTTGACATTATTTACAAGATATCTAACAACATGGACTATAGCCCAAAATTGTGCACAGGAGTGGTCAACGCCTGGATAATTATTTGTTCAATAGTAGATCAACTACATACCTCAACAAGAAGAGGCAAGAGGACTTGATAGGTATATCATCCTGATTACAGTGCAATACCGCTCGACTCTGTCAGACACTCAGATAAACATCTTCCCACATTACAAATCCTAATCACTTTAATTTAATAAACTGGCCAGAATGCACAGTGGCAAGTTCCACTCAACATGAAGATGATGATTGTAAGAAATGAGAACCAGGAAGAAAGTTTGAAGTTTGATGTCATGTATGCATACACACACACACACACACACACACACACACAAAGGCGCTGAGACAGGACTTCACGTGGGTCTGTGGTTTTGTGTGTGTGTGAGAGAGAGAGACAGATACAGAGACAGAGAGAGAGAGAGAGAGAGCCTTTCTTCTTAATATGGACTTGTTGGGTTCAGAGCAGAGGGAGAAGGACAGAGTGAACAAAAGGCGCCCTCCTCCTCTGCTGCCTCCTCACTGTGACTAGAAAAGGGAATGTATGTAGCCAGCTGGTAGGGGGTGGTGGGGGTGACAGACTATCAGTGGGAGCAATCACATCCTGGAGGAGGGAATGTTTATCCAAAGCAGCAATCCCTTTTTCCATGATCCCTGAAATGAAGGACTGTCTTGAGCCTTATTTGGGCAGACTGGGAGTTTCCAGCTGAACAGAGTCAGAGCATTTTCTTTCTGCTTCTCTCTTTGTTTTCTTTCATCAGGTGCTGCGGTTGAAGCAGTGAATCTTAATTTCAGAAAGTTAGTTAAATAATAAAATCTGTACATTTGATATGAATCCAAAGTAGATGCCACTTATCTTCCAATTTCATCTACTGTGACCTGAGGAAGCAATTGACATCATTCCTTCTGTTCAATGTCCAAGGTCCTGCTGTGTCAACTTCAGATGTTGAATAAGATGATAAGACGCAGTTGAGTTTATTTCTGGCAGAACTGAGTACTACATTTCTTTTTAATGAGTTCAAAATGTGTCCAGTTCTGTAATGTGATAAAATTCATAAAAATCATGTAATGACAAACTGTATGTCCAAGTGTTTAAATATGTACAAATAATATCACTTAATCTAATTGGTGATATTTTATATATTTTGAAGCCTACCAGACACTGGACATAAAGTTTGCCTTTTTTATGAATTCATGGATGAATGTTATGGATGACTTAGATCGACTAATCAGCCGATTAAGATTCTGTAGGGCTGTGATCTTAAATTTATCTGAGTCTGATAATGCCCTTTTGGATGGGATTATCAATTTAATAAATTGTCACACTGACTGCATGAGCTGCAGCAGCACTACGTCCACCTCACGAGCACCTCGATTTTGATGTTGGTCTTCCTGCTTGTTGATGCCATGATTCACCATAAGAAACCATTGATCAGCAGGGTCATTTAATATTGATAAGGTGCTTTGCTTTGACCATTTATGTCTGTCAGGAAATGAGGCAGGCCAATGCATGCATTTTTCCAGGTGGACTTTGATTTTGAAACCAAACATTGCCCTCAGCCATGCATCCGCAGTTTTATAAATCAGAAGATTGTTTGGGTAAGCCTTTTCCCGCTATTGTGTGCATGTTCACTTTTAGTTTGAATCCTATGCATTGTTTTATAAGTGGGCCCCTAATGATTTTAGAATTATAGATGAAGACAAATAACCAGGTTATCTTCTACATCATATTCTGATGTAAATCCAGTGTAATTCAGACAAAAATAATTGAATGAAATTGAAATCATAGGAAATCACCAGTGGACTGTCTAACTTAATCACACCAAAATTCCAGCCCAATGTTCAGCATATGGAATTATTAAACTGTCTAAGCTCCCAAAATTTGTGCTGTCTGCTATGTCCATATTTACTTTTATTTTTTTATCAGTTGACGTCCTGCTCTTCCCTATGGCCCATGGTGCAGTGCTGCATCTCTGGTCAGTTGGTAGTCTGAGATGAAGCACTGTAGCTCGGGACAGAGGACAGAAATATCAATCTCAGCGTGTCCACAGTCATGTAACAGCATCAAGCAGCCGGGTAATGGTACATGGACAGTATTTATATAGTCCTTTTCTAGTCCTATTGACCACCAGTGCTTAACACTAACAGCCACATTCACACATTCAAACACACATTCATACAGCGCTAATATATGTTGCGCATAAGTACCAGATTTGGTTTGCTTGAGTCAGGAAGTATGATGTGAAATGATATGATGATGCTGGTCAAGGCAAATGTACGCCCACATCGATGTCTGTTTCTGCTAGAGGGTTGTTCCAGTTAATGAGGGCGTTTCTTTATAATATTTAAGGTTTCAACCTTACTATACAAGTGCCTTTAA